GCCACAGGGTCAGATTTTCGGTTTTTACTTGGAACAATGGTCAGATTTATTAACACTTTCATTTTTTATTTGGATAATGCAAGCGTAGGGACAAGAGTGGCTAGAATAGATTCTGCTACCTTCTCCCCTTGTTGGGTAAAAATGTCAAGCCTCCACATACACGCATCTCAAAAAAAATCATCATCAAAAAAAAACAATAATTGCATTTTTTATTTCAATAACGCTTGAGTAAACATATGAACGCAGATTTAATATAGGCCCATAGAATTACGGGGACCGGCAAGGATTTGGAAAGTCTGAATACAAGTCCTGCTTACACCTAACAAGTGCTGAAATGGGACATAACCAGAGGTAGAAAGGTCTCGGAAGCACTTGGGAAGAGGCTTCCCAAGACCTATCCAGTTCTGAACGGAAAGACCTAAGTAGAACTTGTCAGGTCCAATTATTCGACTCGGGATTCACCTCAGAGGGTAAAAAAAAAAATATCCGCGCTTTACAGCGCGTTTTCTGATCTTTTTTTTCCATCAACAAAAGTCTTTACAGATCAACTTGTGCGATCTACATTCTAAATTTTATTCTCATGGTAATAAACGAAATTTGGTTGTGTTCAAATCAAATACTAAACTTTGACATTGAAATTCACGTAAACGTAAACGTAAAAAAACTACTGATGGTGTGATGAGCAAGAGGTAAAATCTTATTTGTCACTGGGAAAATCCATGAGAACTAATCATTCTATTTTGCAAGCAAAAGAAAAGATAAACTTTTTACGTCTGCAGGGGAAATGTTCCAAGGGGTTAAAAGGTATCCGAAATGATTGATGCTTCACGAAAATTTCCTCATAACAATTTATTTACTTTTCACATGTATCTGTCAACAAATTTAACATGTTTAACAAAAAAACATTAACTCAGGACAGGAATAATGCAACGAATTAAGATGATTGTTACAATTTTTTAAGGACAACTGATACGTTCAGCCGTTCGATTACAAACTATAATTTTCAAATGTCCGAAGAATACTTATACATGTTGAGCTTTTTTGAACAAAACAAATTGGCATGTTCATCGACGAAATCAGCAATCCAAAATGCCGGCCCCGTTTTCTATCCTCGCCCATCAACTGATTCTAATACAAAACGATGTTGACATGGATTGCTGAAATATTAAAAATGATGACTTTGATCATTCAGGTAAAAATTGCTTGTACACTTATAATGATTTTATTCTTGCGGAATAATATATTCAGCGAATTTAGGAAAGAGTCACGAAAAATGAATGTTCAATTATTCTTTAAATGTTCAATGAAATTAGAAATTTCATGATCTTTTCCTCCTACATCGAATTGCATTTCGTTCAGCAAAAAATTACTGTAAAACTGTCTATGAAAATTAATTTTACAACAAATTGTAGAATGAGCGTTGAATATTGTAAAAATAGTAAGCTCTTTTCAAACCTTGTCGATGACACTCTCAGTGTTTCTGTCCATCCGAATGCCCTTTTTTACCACTTTTTGTGTCCTTTGTAACCTCCTTTACCTCCTTTTTTACCTCCAGATTTACCCCCTTTTTTGCCCCCTTTTTTACCATGCGGATGTAATTCCGCTACATCTAAAAGCCAAAACCATTACAATCATTGATAATCAATTATTTGAATGAAAATAACTTGCAACACTTACGGATGCAAGCCAGCACAATTAGGAATAGAGTGAAAAACGACCACAACTTCATCGCGGTTTCTGGAGAGACGGATTTATGGATAGGTGAATAGATGTACTTGACACTGCAGTAGTGAGCACCTGACTCCTATCCACTTGCAACCTGCATTATATATAAAACTCCACTTGCAACCTGCATTATATATAAAACTCCCGTATCTCCTCATTCCACTAAAAACGTAGTTTGCCGGGTTAGCTAGGAGTGGGAAAAAAAAATCATCGTTTATGGTATATTTCCTAGTAGTTCATATTCACTGAAAGGTCTACACGTCGAATTTGGATTTTTTAAATGTTTTTTGGATCGCAGAATCCGAATTTGTTTGTTGAATTTCACTTCCTTGCCCATCCAAGCAGTTAATTTTATACATATATTCGTCATCAGCCTGAAAGATTACGAAATTTTTCTCAAACATGATAACATTCGGTTTTTGGAAAAGTGATGAACATCGAGTTGACGAAGTATTTTTGTTCTCTTTTCTTATTTGATAATATTCCCCTCTTGAATGAAAGATTTTCATTCCCTGGCTTGAGAATTCTGTTTTTCTCATCCTAAATTCAAAGGATGCTCTGTCTTCAGGAATACTTGATCCGTGAATCCATTGCCATTCTCTTCATTTGAGGATGTCTTTTTCCATGTGAACAGTAAATAAACAGTGGGAGTATTCGGATTCCTCGAAAATGAGCAGAAAGTGCCCCCTTCACTATCTGAAAATTCATGGAAAACTAGGCTACAAAAGAAAAAATGTACACGCTAAAAAATGTGGAACCGGCATTATGAACTTTTCTCACAATTCACGTATATTTTGCAGTTGCGACGGAGTTGCGTTCGAATTTTAAAACAGTAAAACTTTTCAATGGTCGAAAATCTACATATTCTGCTTTTGAAAAGAAATTATCGCCGGAATGAGGATACCTGGCGGATAATAAACAACGCCATGGTAAACAATACACGTTGAAAAAAATAAAATTTAACATTGACATTACTCCTATATAGAAAAAAAATTGAGTCATCCAGGAAATACATTGGAAATATCTCTGCATATGACGAGAAGTGGAGAACGTGCGCATTTAGATAACGCGAAACCATTCAAGAGATGCCCCCTGGAGATCGTTGAAATATTAAATTTAGATTCATGAATCACGTGAAAAATGTGGGAATTCCCCATGGAAATAGGGAGCTCAACCCCGTGATCATCAACACATGCTTAAGGATGTATTACACCCTTTCCGCAAAAATTCACGTTTTTCGAATTTTTCTGTTAAATTGTTGATCGAATTGACGTGAAAAAATATATAGTTTTTGCGTTTTACCATTACGTAATGGCTCACGAAATTTCACGATCGTGCAATTATTTTCCAGCATTTTTTCTAAAACTTTTCGGAAATTCACAAACTTTAGAAATAATGCAGGAAAATGATTGCACTAGCATGAAACTTCGTGAGTCAGTCAATAATGATAAAACGCAAAAACGGTATATTATTTTGCGTCAATCCAATTTTTTAGAAATTTTTAAGAAATTTCCGAAATAAAACTGTTTGACAGCCTCAAATACTGCGCTCTGATTGGTTCAAATCCGAGTGGGAAGAATAATCATGTTAAATCGTAAAAAATGAATTTCACATCGCAAAAATTCGATTGAAATAAATGGAATTTTGCAGTTTGTCCGGTATTGTCCACGATTACTATGTTCACATAGTTATTTTTAATTTTATAGCCTTTCCATGGAAACGTCCCAAGAGGTTATAAAGTATCCGAAATGATTGTCGCTTCACAAAAATTTCCACATCCCAATTTATTCATTTTTTACATGTATCTTCTAACAAATTCAACATGTTTATCAAAAAATAAAGTCAACTCAAGACACAAGAATAATACAACGAATAAAAAACATTGTTTCAATTTTTTAATAACAAATAACGAGTTCAGGTTTTGTTTTGGTGAATTGCACCAACTAGTTGTTGAATTTCAATAACTACTATCTAGTAAAAAGTATAGACCCCTGGCGCTGCAGGATTTTTCCGGTTTGCAACATTCCCAAACATTAATGAAGTTACACGGAGAAAAAAAACTGTTCCTTCTGTTTGATCAAAGCTGTTTTAGCTCATTTTTCCTTGATCACCCAAGAAGTTGATTTTATTTATTCGTCGTCAGCCCGAAAGATTATGAAATTTTTCTCAAACATGAAAATATTCGGTTTAAGTGATAAACATCGAGTTGAACAAATATATATATTTGCGTTTATTTGAGAATGTTCCTTTCTTGAATAGAAGATTTTCATTCCCTGACTTGAGAATCATGATATCCTCATCCTAAATTCAAAGGGCGCGCTCTCTTCAGGAATACTCGATCCCTGAATCCATTATCATATTCGTGCTTTGAGGATGCCTTTTTTCATGTTCACAATAAATAGAAGGTAGCAGTATTCGAATTTCGTGAAAATGAGCAGAAAGTCCCTCCTCACCTTACGAAAATTAATAGAAAACTCAACTTCAACAGAAAAAAAAGTACACGCTAAAAAATGTAAAAATTCTGTGCATTATGAACTTTTGTCATCATTCACGTAAATTTTCCCGTTGCGACGGAGTTGCGCTCGAATTTTAAAACAGTAAAACTTTTCAATGGTCGAAACTCTGTATATTCTTCTTTTGAAAATATTATCACGGATACGAACATACCTGATGGTTAATAAAAAATGCAATGTTAAACAATAAACGTTGGAAAAATTTAACATTGACGTTTATTCCTACATGGCAAAAAAATTGAGTCATCCAGGAAATGCATTATAAATATCTCTACATACGACGAAAGGTGGGAGAGCGTTCGCATTTGGCTAAGGTGAAAACAATTAAGAGGTGTCTCCTGGAGAGCGCATAAATAACTAATGAATAAATTGATTCAATTAGGCTTGGTTTGAGAAATCACTTTCTTGTCGTTAACCCTCGATCACTGACTCAATTTTTCTCCTATTGACTCCTATTTTTCATCACAATGTGTTGGAAGTGGGTTTTTGCGCACGGGGAGCGTGCGTAAAATGTCACTTTACACACAGCGTGATGAAACAGGGATTATTGCTTTCCTTCAAACTCATTGCGATTGAGAACATGCAACGGTTACAATTCTCGTTCTTTTATTCATCACTCAGACAATCCATGAAGACAGAAATAATCATTCCATTTTGTAACCAAATGCAAAAATAAGTTCCTTCCTTCTTCAGCGGAAATCACTGCAAAAACTAATGTCTGAATTTCAGATAATTTTGTAGACACTTTTCAAACACTTTTGGGACGATTTTGTAGACACTTTTGAGACATTAAGATGTGTCTGAATCGATGGAGGCATTTCAATTTCAGACACCAAGATGTCTGAAATTAAAATACAGACATCAGTTAGATTTTCGGACACTTGAAGATTCTGACGTTTTTTGCCATCTGCCATCTTAAATTCAGCTGATTGTCAGACACCTAGTTTTTGCAGTGGATGCGTCAACTTTTCAGACATGGGAAATATCTTAAAACTTAATGTTTGAATGGACTTTGCCATCTGAATCAAGTGAGATATCTTAATAGTGAAATGTTTGAATCGCTCATAAATAGCCGAATTTCATACACAGAAAAAATCTGAAAGTAAATACCTGAAATTTCTCAGAAACAAAAAATGTCTACCATTTTCAGACAGAAATGGTGGTTGAAATTTTCAGACATTAGTCAGATTTTCAGACACTTTTGAAGATTCATACGTTTTTTATCATCTGACATCTTAAATGCAGATAGCTGTCAGACACCTGGTTTTTGTAGTGATATTCCTCAAGAGGTTGTAAGGTATCTGAAATGATTGAGAAATGATTGATTCCTCATAACAATTTATTCAATTTCTACACATATCTTCCAACAAATTCAACAGGTATAACAATAGTATATTGCTATACAAGGGCCGAAAGTTGGCCATAGCATCCCGCGTGTGTTTGCCACCCGAGCGAAGCGAGGGTGGCAATCACGCGGGATGACGTGGCCAACTTTTTGCCCGTGTATTGCATACTATTTTTCACCATACCTTTACACCGAAAGTTCGTAAGAAATTCATCGAGAAAATGCTAAAACTGAAAATAATGCTCCATTGGAAAGTGAGGTTAGGTGTCGTTCTGTATATGTCTGTATACGTCTGTATACGTCTGTATATGATTCCACAAAAAAATCTTGGATTTTTTTGGCTTAAATCCCCTGGATTGTTTCTTCATGAAAGCTTTGAGTTTGTCGAATACTTTGAGGTTAATGTTGTGATAAAGAATCATGACACTTTTCAGCATTGACCATTCTCCCCACAGAGTTGAAGGCTTCAGTCTTTTTGATTGTTCATTAAAATAGACGAGAAAAACATTTTCTGTGAATTCCTTAACCTGATTTTTCATTGCCCATGCAATGAACTTGTCATAACAAAGTTTGTATCTTTTGCATGACTTTTGTGGCAGTAGATTTTCTTGGATATCTTTGGCTTCCCCATCAATATTTCTTTCTGGCTCTGCTTCACATTCACTTTCACTATCGTAGGAATCGTCTGATGATGCCATTTTTATCAGTAGGGCAAAGATAAACTGGGTAAATTGAATGTAATCGATTTTATTATGGATTGATAGAACGTTGAGTAAACGTTATTGTCCCTTGGACACCGAAGTATGGGAGACGCATGCGCAGATATTAATATGTGCACTTGCGCGTCGACAAACGACCGCAGCACGCATTTTTTTTTGCGCGTAGGCTTCTTTCGTAGCCTGTTTCTTACTTTCGCCCTGCTACGAGGCGGGAGAATACTCCGTACTTTCGACAGCCCCACTAGAGGCCGAAAGTTCGAACTTTCGGTGTAGGGATGGTGAAAAAAATCAAATCAACTCAAGACAGGAATAATGCCATGCATTAAGATCACTGTCGATGGCGCTCTCCGTATCCCTGTCCATCCTAACGTCCTTTTTTAACCGCTTTTCTAAATCCACGGAAAGATGATTCCGCTACATCTAAAAGCCGATTCCATTAGAATCATTGATAAACAAATATTTGATCAAAAATTTCTTCTGATATTTACGGACGCAAGCCAGCGCAATGAGGAGTAGAGTGAAAAACGTTGAGAACTTCATCGCAATTTCTGAAGAGATGAATCGATGTGCTTGACGCTTCAATACTGAGCAATGACTCCTATTCACTTGCAACCCACATTATATACAAAACCTTTTATCGCCTTACTGCACTAAAAACGTAGTTTGCCATTATTGCGAGGAATGGGGAAAAATCCAGGATTTCTGATAGTACGTGTTATCGATATACGGAATATGCCGACATAGTAGAAGAGGGGGTTCAAATTTGCATAAATTCGCTTACGTAAAATACTTGAACTACCCCTATATACACTGTTAGAAATTTTTTGAAATTTCATAGAAGATATTATAAGGAATTCCGCTATAATAAGGAAATTCCGCTCATTATGAACTTTTGTTATAATCCATGTAAATTTTCCTTGCGATGGCGTTGCGTTCGAATTTTAAAACAGTAAAACTTATCAACGGTCGAAACTCTACATATTGTGGTTTTTAAAACAAAAGATCAACGAAACGAGGATGCCTTACGGGTAATAACAATGCGATGGGAAACAATATGCGTTGAAAAAATTTAACATTGACGTTCATTCCGACATAGCAGAAAAAATTGAGTCATCCCAGAAATGCATTACAAATATCTCCGCATACGATGCAAAGTGGAAGTCCTCTCGCATTAGCCTGACGCGACCAATAACTAATGAATAAATTGATTCAACTCGGCTTGGTTTGAAAAATCACTTTTTTGTCATAAAACAAATTGTCCTCGTGTCTGAGACAAGTACAAAATCTTTTGACGAATATCTTCTTTCTCAGTGTAAAATATTTTTTCTTATCTATCAGTGTAAGATATTTTGGTCTTGTCTCTCAACCAACTTTTCTCGTCTCGTCTCGTAATGCCTCTCATCACGTCTCGTTTCTCTCTCGTTTCTCACGATATCCCTAACGCCGACGAAGTAATTCAGTTCGATCACTTGTGTTCGAACACTGATCAGTTCACCCCACATCTCCTAATGATTTTTCTTTCCCAATTTTTCTCCTTCAAGGGCCACATTCTCGACGTAACGTGAACAAGATTCATGTGTGAACACAGCGCCGTACACGAATACGATTACCATGCGCAATCAATGAACGGCGACACGTTCACACATGAATCTTGTTCACCTTACGCCGAGAATAATGCCTCCAAAACTGTTCCTTTGATCCCCAAGTTATTCGTGATAATAAAAAACCGATGAAGAAATAATGAGCATCAATTTTTTTGACCTCCGGTTTCAAAGTGGAGTCCCTCAATGATGATTTATAAAATTAACAAAAAAAATTAATTCTAATTTCGTGTAGCAGTCATCGGGTAGCCATCAGCTTGCTCCTGCCTACTCTTCATAAAAAACAACGGATCTCTCAATTCTCGAGTGAAGAATGGTTTCTAAAATCTGTTTCCCCTCACAGTTGGCTCATCTTACCAAGAAAATGTTGAAAAAAAAAAACAACTCAGTCTGGATTTGCGTGAGCGTCGCGCAGGGAAACGTCTCTCCTCGAGTTTACGGTACTTTTTATGCATTCATAACGTTATATAGCCGACGGGGTAAAAAAAAGCGATATAGTCTCACTCCACTGAAAAAAAGCTGGTGGTAACATGGAAAATAGTGAATGGTGGTGGGGTAGGTGGGGCAGGCAGAAGTTGGGAAAGCAGGAACCACTCTAAAGACTACAGTTACGCTTACGTTTAGGAGCTTTTCCAGAGCACTGTGCCTTGCTACCTTTTTCCCGCCCTCTCTGACTTATTTTTACCTCTTAAACGCTTACGAGGAAGAGGTGATTCTAAACCGCTCCCCCTTCTCCTTTTCTTTCCCTAGCCCATCAGCAAAATGTGCCATCTCATCGTCGTCGATTACTCGGGATAATTCAAGTTAAAAGGAGGCTATTATCTTCAGAAAGATAATGTTAATTTTTATTGTCTTGAAAAAAAGAAAAAAGAAGTGAAAAAAATTGTTAGAAAATGTTTGAGGATATGGTGAGATATTAATGCTCTTGCATAAAGCAAAAAATGCGAAAAATTACCTGGAAATTGAATTTTAAAGAATCATTTTTAGATTTTGATTGATATACATATTAATCTTACATGGGAAATTCAATGGCAATTAGATATTATGACTATGTTGAAGTCTATCACAAGTAGAGATGTAAGCAGGGATAGCCAAATTTGTAATATTTTATTACGGTTACGTTTGTAGCCGTTAATTAGATAACATGAAATGTAATTTCATAATTCACTTGAAATTTTTTGAGTACTTAAGTATCATCGATTCAAATATTCAAATTTGTAACTATTTTATCAATCATTAATTTGAGATAGGAAGATTGACGATTACTTGTGTAATCGTAAATCCCCTGTCAAGAAATTTGAATTATTTACTTAGTAGTAAATTTACAATTTCATATTAACAAATTTTAAATATATCATTATTCGTAAAAAATCAGATTATTAATATTATATTATTAGAAAAATTGAATCAACATATTTTAAACCTTCAATAATGTAAGGGTCAAATCCTTGTAATATTACAGAAATTTAATATTGATGGGGATCCCTGGATGTAAGTGACAAAAATGAGGGGTCAAATGACTGTCAACGACCACTGTCATGGCTGTTAATGACGCGGTCAGCGGACGCTATTCACCGTCATGACCGGTCATTACCGCGCCAAGAATCTGACCATATGGTCCGAGAAAAATAACGATTGGTCGTAAGCATGAAATGATCGAATAATTTTTTATCGCCAATCTATATAGGGCTAGGTTGCTCCGATAATGTATCGGAGTGGATACAGTATCGCAGCAACCTAGCCTTAATGATGCTGACTGAAATGTTTGCGGAATGTCGGCAAAAATCTAAATCTAGACGGCATCCATCCGGAAGCCATAACAATAAACAATAACGTTGACGGCGAAAGCCTCAAAACTCAAATTTATCAAGTAATTAATGAAAATTCAAATAAGATTTTCCACTTTCATTCGACAACCATTTGTTAAATTTTTGGAGGCGTAACATGCCTGATCAGAATTTCGGATCGGACTTGATCAGTTTCTGATCGAGACCTGAGCGGAATTTCCACTCGGGTATGAGTCAATTCGAGAGTGAGATGCGTAAGTGTCCTGGTAGCTCAGATGGTAAGAGCACCCGACGCGACATTGGGAGGTCCCGGGTTCGATTTCCGGCTAGGAAGTTACTAATTTTTTCTCTCAAAAAAAATTGAATTTAATTAATGCCTAATGATGGTAGGCCAAGAACCCCTAGTGGAAAAACATAAGGTGGAAGCGTAACACGCCTGATCAGAATTTCGGATCGGACGTGATCAGTTTCTGATCGAGACCTGAGCGGAATTTCCACTCGGGAATTCCGTAAGATTTCCTACAACCACATTTTGCTCCGAAATTACGGAAACGATACGTAATTTATATTGAATATTTCTCTACGTGCACCTCTAACGTTGACAAATTTACTCTACACAGCCCGGGCGCGTTTAACGAGTTGTAGGCAATGTTGCGTGACGGGCCATTTCATTTAACATAGGAAAAAAAATTGTCCTGTTG